GGGTGCAGGTCTAAGGTTTAGGTCATGTAGAAGTCTGAGTACTTTCGAGTAATGTTCCGTTGTAGTGCCCGTATAGTCTATATTCGAATACACCAAAACCCTGTTCTAATTACACAGCCCTAGACCCTAAACCCTTAAACCCTAAGCCCTCAAGGCATTTACATTGTTGGGAATTAAGGGCTTGGGGGGAGGGGGTTCGCGATTCAGGGTTTATAGGGGTCCAGGGTGCCGGAGTTCTCAATGTTAAGCTCAACTTTGCCGGGTTTATGGGTTTAGGGGTTAGGGGTTGGGTTTAGGGTTTAGGGTTTAGGGTTTAGGGGTTTCAGATTTGAGGCGGTTCCTGTAAGGGTGCCGGGGTTCGGGTTGCCGGGCTCGGTTGATGGCCTCAAGTCACAACCTATACTTTGGAAGATCCAGAAACCCCTAAACCCTTAGTCCGGGACAATTTCAGCTGGGTAGTTACCGTTATAGGAGCCTTATAGAAGGTCTCTATACCTTATAGAAGTCCTATAAGGCCCGATGAGCTTATAAACTCCCTACCTGTAGTTTCCAATAACTAAGCTCGACCAACACCCACCAAAAGTAGATAAAATGATGGCCCATCACACAGGAAAGGCCATGATTCTACATAGTTTTGGACTCCCCTAAAGACCCTAGTCCTAAAATAGGGTCCTTGTTGGGCGCAGTTTTACATTTTTGTTATATTGAAAGACTAAAAATGTTCATTTTTAATATAGCCCCAACGGGGAACCAGAAAACCTTAATTCAGCCCTACCTATAGTCTCCATTGTAGTTCCTTTTGGGGGATACCTTATAAAGTCCTTAATATATAATCGGTTAAACCCCAAAAAAGGAACTACAATGGAGACTATAGGTAAACCCTAAACCCTAGACCCTAAACCCTAAACCCTAAAGCCCTGGAGACTCAAGTCCCCAACCTTGCGACTTCGGCGTCCGAGGCCATCCTCCTAAAGATCCGGTCGCAGAACGAACGCCGCGAGAAGAAGCAGCAGAAAGTGAAGGCTGGGTTTAGGGTTTAGGGTTGAAGAAGCAGCAGAAAGTGAAGGCTGGGTTTAGGGTTTAGGGTTGAAGAAGCAGCAGAAAGCGAAGGCTGGGCGCCTTTTCTTTGGGCTTGGAGTTTGGATTCAGGTTACTACAGGGGCCTAAATAATTACCAAGATTGTTTTTTGCGGGTTCCTCATTGTAATTATAGTAGCAGGGGGGTTTCCGGTTCCTACGTCCGGCTGTGGGGTGGTGTTGGATGTTCTTGTTACTTGTTGACCCTCCGAGTTAAGGGTGTGGGGTTTAGGGTTTGGGGTTTAGGGCTGTCTCCTTTGTTTCCAAAAACGGCGGCAACACCTGTTTCAGGGTTCTTAGTCTTGATTCCGGCAAGGGAAAGCTTTGGCATTGGTCTTGACTTCCAAGTCCGTTAGCACCGATGCTGCCACCATTTGTTGTCGTGCATGTGCTGTTCGTGCTACTTTGGCTGCTTCTAGCAAATATCATGTGATGGATATCGGTGTTCTCATTGATCTCAGTACTGCCATACTGTTTTTGTGGCTGATTGGTTTGTGACGGCGACGCTACTGCTACTTCATGCTGCTATTACAGCCACTTCCTATTCTCGCTGTTGACAGACCAACACTAGTACTAGCTCTAGTATATCTTTGGTATCTACTGTCACCATCTTCAGAATTGTCGACGCGGCATTTCACTCGGTCTCTTGATGTGCCCTGCTCGTGTCCCGGCCATCCCCTGTCTCGCTCTGTCAGGAGCAGCGCGAGCAGCACCGCCGTGCTCTGTTGCAAGACGGCAAGAACCCTTACGAGGCTGCACGGCACCCTAAACCCTAAGCCTAAGTCCCAAAAAGTTGGACACCGGATGAAGGACAACCAGTGGCTGGGATTCTCTACACATTACTCTTTAGGACTGAGGGTTTTGGGTCCAACCTTTTTGGCTTCGACTGCAGGGTCCCTAAACCCTAGACCCTAAACCCTCAACCCTAAACCCCTAAACCCTCAACCCTAAACCCTCAACCCGAAACCCGAAACGCCAAACAAGGAGCCTAAGTTCAAACCAAAACCCGAAACCCTGAGCCCTAATTCAGGACCCTATTCATATTCAAGCCGCAACCCTAAAACCCCAAACCGTCCTAAAAACCCTAAGTCCTCTAGTCAAGGCCTAAACCCTAAAATAAAGGGTCCTTTCTTCAAGCCGAGACTTTCTTAGGTCGGCCTGGAGCTTCGCGGCCGAGTGGAAGATGAGGAGCCGGCGGTCGTGCTCCATCCTCGCGGTGTAGATGGCAAGAAATGTCCCAAAGGCCAACCTAGCTTATCTGGGTTCTTGTTAAGGGATTTAATTTAAGTTACCATAATAGGGATCTATAGTAAATCATATGGTTTCCTTATTATGGTAACTTAAATTAAATCCCTTAACAAGAACCCAGTTATGGGGTCTGGGATTTAAGGGCTTAGGGTATAGGGTTGAGTGGCTTTGGGCTTTGGGTTTACAGCTTTCGGGTTCCATCAGGACTAAAATGCAGGTTTACAGGGGCATTTTTTTAGCGGCTTGGGGTTTGCGGTTTCGGGTCTTAGGGCTTACGGTCTTGCGGAGTTCGTGCTTTAGGACTTCAGGGTCTCGTAGAGGGATCCTTTTAAGGTTCTGCAAGAGTTTCATCATAAGGTGTAGGGTTTTTAGGACAATCTTCGCTGGTTTTATGAGTATCAACAAGAGTTTCTAGAGGAGTCCTGTAGGCTGTTGAGAGTCTATTGAGGATTTAGCAGGGTTTGCAGGGGGCTTGTAGTTTAAGGCCTGAGATGGTATGCTGTCAGGTTGGACAGACTGACAAGGGTCCCATCGGGGTTCCTACGTGGTCCTATCAGGGTCCGATAAGCATCCGACAAGAGTCCTGTGCACGTGGCTTTTTGAGGTATGCCGTGCTATCTTTAAGGGCTGGAGCGGGTTATAGGGAGCATCAGACCTCCACCCGAGTCCCAAAACTTGGTCTACATTTTTTGTAGCATCCCTAGAAAAATAAAATCTATATTAGGGTTCACAACAAGAACCTACAAAAAATTAAGGTACTGTGACTAGTAGTTTAGGAGTGGTGGATTCAGCAAATGTAGAGGCCTTAATCATGAGACTAGGGTTGCATCGGCTCTATTTCGGTTCTCATGAGGTTGAAGAATTAGACTAAGGGCTTGGGGCACAGCCTTCCAAGGGCCTGTAACTACAACGGGAAGCAGTTCCTGGCTTCAGGGTACCTTACTTGCTCAATCCTTCCGGGGTCCAGGGGTATATGTAATTGGATATAGGGTTCTGGGATAGATTATACTACAGCCATATTCGGGAAGTCTTAAACTTTACACACCCCAAACTGTAAACACCCTTAACACCTTAAACACCCTAAACCGCAAACCCTCAGGCATACTAGTAGCAATTACTCAGGCCCTTGCATTAGCCCTCTCATTTTGGAGGCTCCCGGCCTAAGCTTTCGATGAGTCTTGCGCCCGCGGCCTGGGAGGTCTCTAGAGTTTGGGGCTTCTGGCTTAAGGTTTAGGGGTCTTTAGGGTGTAGGGTGCAGGCTTTAGGGTGAAAGGGTTATCACAAGCTTTTGAAGCCTCTAGACCGGCAGATTCTACGGCAGATTTTTCGTTTATGCCCATGTGGGGGGTTAGAGTTCAGGCTTTCGGGTTTACGCTTCAGGGTTTGCACCCAGCCAGGATACGGTGTCGTTCGAAACCTGTGGCGCACCTGCATTCCCCAAGCCAGATAACGAAGGGGCCTTACCGCCTCACTAAGAATAGGGTGTTGGGGCATGTTAGAGCTCAAATCTTTCGGTGCAATACAAGGACACTGTTACAAAACCATTCAGGCCCTAACACAGCGATGAAGGGTCCGGGGCTTGCTGCAGACAGCAGCCATGAATGAAGGCTACAGCTCCGAAAGAGCAACCCCGATATAGACACCCAGCAACAACGAAAGCACAATCCTGACCACAATCGTGATGAAACTAATACCTAGTAGTGTAGACACTCAAGAAAGACCGAAATACTAGTCAGGGGCCCGAACCGTAGCAAGACGAAGCCTACAGTACCGGCTCCCCCCTTGGGCTCTTCGTCCTCATTTCAAGCAGAGATTTATCAAAAACAAACCTCAAGGCCAGTTCAGTCCCGCTGCTCCCCTTGCAAAACGAGTCACCCCCCTACCCGAGCGGGCAGCGGGCAGGATGCAACGCGGGGAGCAGGCCTCACCGGCTGGGTGGCGCGGCCTATAAGATGCTGGTAGCGCACCGCCCGACCCGTGAAGGAGCGGAATTCCTGTAGTTGCAGTTGGACTAAACATCTGCCAGCTCTGACTGCCTCCCGAAGCTTCGGGTGGGAAGTCAGAACGATGTGACAGATGAGCTTGCCGGAAGGACCCCCTTCATAGGGACCACCCAGCTTGAATTCGCCAGATCGAGCATGCAGTTCATCATGACTCTCTGCCCGTGGCCTTTAAACAATGCATGCACAGGAGATGGAGGGTTTCCGAGAAATCGGGGTCCAGTCTGAACGGAGCCGTAGAAAGTAAACTACCACTTAAGACATGCAGAGGACAATTGAACACAAAAATCCCCAGTCTCGGAAACTCAAATGTCGTTTTGATTGAAGCTCAGCCACTGAGCAATCAATTGGCCAGGCAGCATGGTTCGCGCTTAAACGCCTCGCCACCCAGCAGAACAAAGAAAAGTATACAATTGGTAGAACCCTCAAGCGATCAGTGCACGTAGTCCTTTCTTATCCAAGACCCGTTGCTTTCGAGAGGGCTCGACCCAAACCTATACATCCATAAAGCGAAGATCGACGTCACATGTGGAACGTCGTCCATCATTTCGGCCACCAAAACCACAAGCAGCCATTTGGATGGGGATATCCCTAAGCTCGCTCATGATTGAGCCCAACACCGTGGGGATATCCCTGCAAGATGCTCACGTGTCAGACCTTTTGGGGGTCTCTCGATCATAGCAGCAAAGGGGGGAGCGTCTGCACGCGCTTGAAGCAGCTGTATCCTGGCAAAACTCCCGAAGAAACGGCTTCGATCGATTTGGTCCAAACCTCAAGGTGCGGAAAAGGAAAAGATCCAGCATCACGGCTTTTAGGCTTAGGGGTTTAGGAGTTTAGCGGTTTAGGGCCGAGGGCTTAGTTGCAAGACTCCTGGAAGAAGGAAGGAATCCGTACCTTTAAGAACTTCGCTTGTTCAGAAACTTGAATCTCTTACAGTCCCCTACACAAAGCCTTGGACAAATCTGCAATACCATCACTATACCCCTAAGCCCAAACCCTACAGCCCTTGACTCCAAACCCTGCACCTCGCACCGGCCGGTTGTGAACTCGAAGCCGGAGCAAACAGGACGAGACGCTATGCACCTCGAAGGGGCGGGTCGAAGTTCGCATCCGAAGAACCCCGGACGGTCTCTAAGTGCTTTATGAAAGTACTGTCAGGGCTTGTGCAGGTGCTAGAAGTGTCTAGATTCCAGAGCCGCGGTAAGTGTTTTGGGCTTAGAGGTCTTAGGGGGAGGGTTGGAGCGGTATCTATCTTGGTGGTCTTAGGGCTGACAGCTGGCATGTAGGATTCATGATATTATCCCGCCTTGCTTTGCATTCCTCGAAGGAGATTCGCCAGTGGACAACATAGTTGCTATCGGAGTTGTCCCCGGGATGATAGCCGCGGCAGGCTCGGTCACCACCACCCATCAGCTGAAAGCTTCCCACCCATCCAAAGCGCATGCAAGTAAAGCCACTGACGCTCTTGGTGAGAAAGATCCCTTCCGGCCTGGCAGGGCCCGGATTTAGGCGAGGACCATAAGCCGACCCTATACATAGAGAGGCATCCAGCTTTGAGAATCGCCGGAATTTTGATTGAGTTACTCGGGTTGTACGTAGGATTACGGGTTGGGCTAAGTTAAGTGGGTTAGCTATACAAACTGAAGTAGCAGTCCCACACAATCCCAGAATCTAAACCCAGCCAACACCCCACCAGTCATACCAATGCCCGGAACAAAAACACTTGAGGGGTTGAACAACAACTTTCTAAACCCGGAACCCTCCTAAAACCCTTGTAGAACCCTGTTGTAGGGGAGGGTAGGTGAAGGGAAAGAAATACTTAAAATAGGGGCTCGATATCTGGAATGATGCTCCTTAGGGTTCCCTAAGACAATGGAACCAAAATATACACCAAAACACTCAGTGGCCCCTGTACCCAGAGACCCTAAAGACAATTACTGAAGGATTATCACGTAAATTGTGGAGGTAGGTCTCCTTTCAAAATTTACGATATATTCCTTAATAAGGGCGGCCCCTGAAACTAAGCTTGTCTTTTGAGATCACCGTCCTACCTGGTCCAGAGCTCACAGCGGCCCTGGCTGTACTCAACACCTCCGCAGGTCTGGGGCTTCAGGCGGGTTTTTACCCGATTTCAGGCCTCGGGTTCCAGGGTTAAGGGTTCGGGATTTAAGGTGTAGGGTTCAGGGTTCATATTTGTGCACTATGCTTATACTTATATGTAGAAAACCTGAGTCGGAATCAGCCATACTCCGGACTGCTCTACTGCACCAGAAACGGCCAA